TGTAGTCAACCTGCGCACATGTCCTATTTGGGACATTTGTAAGGCCGGCCAATGTATTTTACCCCCACTAAACTATATATTTTTGGAAAGTAGACACCCTAGGGTATTTCAAATGGTGGTTTTTTAACACTTTCCATGCACTAATTCTACCACCAGACATTGTCAAACATTTAGGTAGTCATTTTTTGTGTGTTTTTTTTTCACACACATTGTAATTTAGGCATGAATTAACAAATCGTGTTATGTGTCACTGCCAAACAACACGCCAATATGTGTTCAGCAACATCTCCTGAGTACAGTGATACCACCCATGCATAGGATTGTCGGATTGGTTGGGGGATAAAAGGCCACATTTGGCAGGTGCGCATATCCATTTTCCAACTTGGAATTTTGACATGTAGTCAACCTGCGCACATGTCCTATTTGGGACATTTGTAAGGCCGGCCAATGTATTTTACCCCCACCAAACCATATATTTTTGGAAAGTAGACACCCTAGGGTATTTCAAATGGTGGTTTTTTAACACTTTCCATGCACTAATTCTACCACCAGACATTGTCAAACATTTAGGTAGTCATTTTTTGTGTGTTTTTTTTCACACACATTGTAGTTTAGGCATGAATTAACAAATCGTGTTATGTGTCACTGCCAAACAACACGCCAATATGTGTTCAGCAACATCTCCTGAGTACAGTGATACCACCCATGCATAGGCTTGTCGGATTGTTTGGGGGCTAAAAGGCCACATTTGGCAGGTGCGCATATCCATTTTTCAACTTGGAATTTTGACATGTAGTCAACCTGCGCACATGTCCTATTTGGGACATTTGTAAGGCCGGCCAATGTATTTTACCCCCACCAAACCATATATTTTTGGAAAGTAGACACCCTAGGGTATTTCAAATGGTGGTTTTTAACACCTTCCATGCACTAATTCTACCACCAGACTTTGTCAAACATTTAGGTAGTCATTTTTTGTGTGTTTTTTTTCACACACATTGTACTTTAGGCATGAATTAACAAATCGTGTTATGTGTCACTGCCAAACAACATGCCAATATGTGTTCAGCAACATCTCCTGAGTACAGTGATACCACCCATGCATAGGCTTGTCCGATTGTTTGGGGGCTAAAAGGCCACATTTGGCAGGTGCGCATATCCATTTTTCAACTTGGAATTTTGACATGTAGTCAACCTGCGCACATGTCCTATTTGGGACATTTGTAAGGCCGGCCAATGTATTTTACCCCCACCAAACCATATATTTTTGGAAAGTAGACACCCTAGGGTATTTCAAATGGTGGTTTTTTAACACTTTCCATGCACTAATTCTACCACCAGACATTGTCAAACATTTAGGTAGTCATTTTTTGTGTGTTTTTTTTCACACACATTGTAATTTAGGCATGAATTAACAAATCGTGTTATGTGTCACTGCCAAACAACACGCCAATATGTGTTCAGCAACATCTCCTGAGTACAGTGATACCACCCATGCATAGGCTTGTCGGATTGTTTGGGGGCTAAAAGGCCACATTTGGCAGGTGCGCATATCCATTTTTCAACTTGGAATTTTGACATGTAGTAAACCAGCGCCCCTGTCCTATTTGGGCCAATGTATTTTACCCCCATCAAACCATATATTTTTGAAAAGTAGACAACTCAGGGTATTTTAAATGGTGGTAGTTTAATACTTTTCATGCAATAATTCTACCACCAGCCTTTGGCAAACTTTTGGGTAGTAATTATTTTCTTCATGTTTTTTTACACATACATTGTACTTTAGGCATGAATTAACAGATCCTGTTATGTATCACTGCCAAACAACACGCCAATATGTGTTCAGCAACATCTCCTGAGTACAGTGATACCACCCATGCATAGGCTTGTCGGATTGTTTGGGGGCTAAAAGGCCACATTTGGCAGGTGCGCATATCCATTTTTCAACTTGGAATTTTGACATGTAGTCAACCTGCGCACATGTCCTATTTGGGACATTTGTAAGGCTGGCCAATGTATTTTACCCCCACCAAACCATATATTTTTGGAAAGTAGACACCATAGGGTATTTCAAATGGTGGTTTTTTAACACCTTCCATGCACTAATTCTACCACCAGACTTTGTCAAACATTTAGGTAGTCATTTTTTGTGTGTTTTTTTTTAATTTATTTTTTTTTTTTTATTCTTTATTTTTGTTGTGCACAAAAGTAACAAAAAGCCTTGGTGCGCCACAACAGCGACATCAGGAGAAATTGGTAGACATTTACATTATAAGTAGTGGCATTCGTTAGTCAGGCACATTTTTAGATTAATGAGATCAATATTTCGACAGCTTAGGTTCTCTTTAGTTTAAATGATTTAGCAAGATGCACACGTCAGGTAGGAGTATTCAGAGGAGTGACAAAGAAGGAAAACCTGAAATGTACAATCCTAATATAAACAAGACTGTGCTGTTCAATATATGCTAAATATGTGTCTATAGTGTGACATGAAAGACAGTGCACGTTTTATATTGTTAAAGAGAGCAAGATATAACAGATTGTGAAACCACTGGCAATGATTATGAACAAAAATAACATATTATAATCAATGGAAAGGAACTGCTGTGATACTGTAAGCTAAATGCTTAGGTAAGCCTAGTGTCTGTCTTTATGTCTAAATCTTGCTCTAGCGTGTGAGAAGTATTTAAAGTTAACTGCATAATAACCCATAACATTGGCAAAAAGTTGCCCCAAGCCATAGATAAAGTTCAGTGATACTTGGGCTACAAACCCGACAAGATATCAGGGTGTTCTGGCGTTATCTGGTATCAGCTGGGGAATGCGCCCACATGGATCAGTTCGAGGTCTGTGAGCTGTGGGGCAGGGTGAAATACACTTCAGCCTATGCCCAGTGTGGGAATGTCTCGATTGCTGGCACAGCTGGCCCTGTCTATGAGGTCCCTGGGCTTGATTCCAGCTCTAGCTGTAGTCAGCGAGGCTTTCTCCTGTGTGGCCTCTTGTAGTGCAGCGTGATCCTTGAGAGGTTGCTTCGTGCCGCTCTGGTCAGAGGTTCTTGGGTCTGATGAGTTGCTAGCAGGTAGGCTTCGCTTGGTGCACATGCTTCTTTGTAGGTGGGAGCGAGTGCATGCGTTCAACTGGCATGGCGCCGTTTCCCGCCTTGTCGATCTCTGGTGTCTGCATCGCCGGACGGCCGCCCTGGATGCCCGAGGTTGGTGCCCATAATGGCGTCGTCGGGTAACGGGTCTCATCCAGGAGGCTACCGCTTTCACCGCCTGGTGGTGGGCCATTCCTCGCTCACAGAGCATCGCCCAGAAGCTCTTACAAAGCCGGTCCAGAGCCATCAGGGGATGTGTAGGTGACTGGGTGCTTGTGTTTTTCATTTTTGGCCCTTGCTTGGAGGCCATTTTGGTTATGCCTTGACGGTCTTGTGTTCCAGCGGGCTGTGTAATTGTGAGGCCCACCAGCAGTCCTGGTCCGTGTAGCCAGTGGGGACCGGGATTACCCCCGCCGGTCCAAAGGGGAGGGGGAGTAAGAGATCAATGAGGTCGCTTGAGGTGTCTCAGTGTTGGGGAGAATGGCCGTCTCTCCCTGGCTCCAACCCCAGTAGGCCGCACTTGGCGTTTCACGCCCCCGGCCCCGATGGGCTCCAGAAAGGTGTCCCTCGATTCAACCGGGCACCCCCGGCATGGATGGGGTACCCCGGTGTGTTTTTGGGCTATTTATCTGCCCATTTCACCGTGTTTTCTGCCCGTCGGACCGGAGCTCGCCTCACCCACGTCCGTACAGCTAGGTGGTCAGGCTCCGCCCCCCTTGTGTGTTTTTTTTCACACACATTGTACTTTAGGCATGAATTAACAAATCGTGTTATGTGTCACTGCCAAACAACACGCCAATATGTGTTCAGCAACATCTCCTGAGTACAGTGATACCACCCATGCATAGGCTTGTCGGATTGTTTGGGGGCTAAAAGGCCACATTTGGCAGGTGCGCATATCCATTTTTCAACTTGGAATTTTGACATGTAGTCAACCTGCGCACATGTCCTATTTGGGACATTTGTAAGGCCGGCCAATGTATTTTACCCCCACCAAACCATATATTTTTGGAAAGTAGACACCCTAGGGTATTTCAAATGGTGGTTTTTTAACACTTTCCATGCACTAATTCTACCACCAGACATTGTCAAACATTTAGGTAGTCATTTTTTGTGTGTTTTTTTCACACACATTGTACTTTAGGCATGAATTAACAAATCGTGTTATGTGTCACTGCCAAACAACACGCCAATATGTGTTCAGCAACATCTCCTGAGTACAGTGATACCACCCATGCATAGGCTTGTCGGATTGTTTTGGGGCTAAAAGGCCACATTTGGCAGGTGCGCATATCCATTTTTCAACTTGGAATTTTGACATGTAGTAAACCAGCGCCCCTGTCCTATTTGGGCCAATGTATTTTACCCCCATCAAACCATATATTTTTGAAAAGTAGACAACTCAGGGTATTTTAAATGGTGGTAGTTTAATACTTTTCATGCAATAATTCTACCACCAGCCTTTGGCAAACTTTTGGGTAGTAATTTTCTTCATGTTTTTTTACACATACATTGTACTTTAGGCATGAATTAACAGATCCTGTTATGTATCACTGCCAAACAACACCCCAATATGTGTTCAGCAACATCTCCTGAGTACAGTGACATCACCCATGCATAGGTTTGCTGGGTTGTTTGGGGGCTAAAAGGCCACAATCAAGACTTGTACATATCAGTTTTTCAACTTGATATATAGGTATGCTTGGCCTATCTTCAGTTTGGCATATTTTTGCATCCCCCCGTTAATGTTAACATCATGAAAGTTTATATTTTTATAAAGTAGACATTCCAGAGTATTGTATATGAGGTGTTTTCACATCCTTCCCCAACCATTGTGCTAAACAAATTTCAGAGAACGTGCATGGTGGTAATTTTTTAATTCTGCTTTTTATGCACACGTCATCTGGTTTTGGCCAGCCAGTTATATGTTACTACCATAAAACTTTTTTAACCAAATGTGCAGGTATCAAATGCACCTTTAGCAGCATTCTCTAAACTAACTCCTGCAAAAAGAATCTAATTGGAGATTTGGGGGGAAGGAAACTGACTAAAATTTGCTGCTTTCAAAAGAAAAAAAAACAGTGCAAAGGGGTGTCTGTCCTTTTCCTTTTTTATAACAGACCCAGCAACATTTCAGGGGATTTGTTTTTTTTTTGCAATTGGCGGTATCTTAAAAATAAAATGTCTGGACTCCTTTGGCACCGTTGTTGGAACTTGACCATCTCCATAAATTATTGTGGAAATCAGCTTGAACTAAAATTGGAGAAAGGTGGTTCTTTCTGAATTCATTTTTTTTTAAAGAGTAAAAATTAATTATGTGTTGCTACTTGCATCAGGTAGATAGCCACCTTTTTATACCAGGCTTTTGTCTTTCTTAAGATAAGATATGGCTGCATCAGCTGATCAGCCAAATCAACACCCCCCATGTGCCTGTTATAAGCCCTGATGCACACCGGTTTTGTCTGTACCCTGCCTCGGACAGTGACGTCTGACATGCCCTCGTTATGGATGGTTGTTAGCATGTGAACATCCTTCCTGTCCTTAAATTTTATTGCAAGCACTTTAGCTTTGTGCAGACCTTTACATTCACTTTTTTTTTTTTTTATTTGGCCTCTATAAAAGGTCTGGGGAAATCCTTGGCATATCTTCTCACACTGCCACAGGCCAGTATGTAGAAACCCTAAAGAGTTTGAAACAAACGGACAATGCTATAAAAATTGTCCACATAAAGGTGGTAACCCTTATTGAACAAGGGGATCAGTAAGTCAAAAACAAGTTTCCCGCTTGTCCCCAGAGAGTCAGTACAGCCAGGAGGGTCCAGTTGACCATCTTTCCTCTCATATATACGAAAGGCAAATGTATAGCCACTTTCGCTCTCGCACAGTTTGTAGAATTTTACGCCATACCTAAAGCGCTTTGAGAGGATGTATTGTTTGAATCCTAATCTCCCTTTATATTTCATTAACGATTCATCAATAGATACATTTTTTGTAGAGGAGTATAAACTTCAGTAAATTTGTGCTGAAGATGGTCTACCAGTGGGTGTATTTTATGAAGCCTATCATATTGGGTGTGATCTCTGCGGTGACAGAGGGTATTGTCATTGAAATGTAAGTATCTCAGCAGCAGCTCAAATCTTGTTCTAGACATGGTTTGAGAGTACACTCGACTAGAACAGATTGGGTTGGTGCTCCAGTAAGAGCAAATTGATGGCTTCTTTATAATCCCCATGAGAATTGTAAGAGCCCAGAATTTTTTAAGTTCAGCGACATCTGTGGGATGCCAAGCACACTCCTCCCTGACTGCATAGCTATCTGGATTGGTATCAATAAATTGGGTAGCATATATAATTTAGTCTGGGGAGCAATCTCCTCCCACATGGTATCCCCTAAAAATAGCTCCATATATTGCATAGGGGAGAAGTCATCCACATTGACATTAATGCCTGTGTTGGCACTAAAAGGGGTGATTTGGGGCTCAGCTAACTGTGGAGAAACCTGTTCCTCCTCCACATTCGGCGTAGCAGAGAAAGCACAGCTTCTTTTTGCAGCCGGCTCACACACAGATGACATGTCAGAAAACTGACCTGGGTCAAAATCGGACGCAGTGTCAGTGGCGTCAGAGTCTGGCTAACACAGAGTTACTAACACACAATTTTTTTTTTATTTTATACTAAAAACAGACTAAAACTGATAAAAACAGACTAAATGAGACTAAAACTTCTGTTAGCAGCAATCTGTAAACTAACTCCTGCAAAAAGAATCTAACTGGAGATTTGGGGGAAGGATACTGACTAACAGAAATTTGCTGCTTTCAAAATAAACAAAAAAAATAAATCAGGAACAAGTATTATAAAAATGTATTTTCTGTGTGGTAGACCTTAAAACATGCTCCAATACACAGTCCAGGTTTTGTAGGGCAATCGGGACAGTGAAAAGGGGTGTCTGTCCTTTTCCCTTTTTTATAACAGACCCGGCAACGTTTCTGGGGGTTTCTTTTTTTTGGTGTTGGCGGTATCTTAAAAATAAAATGTCTAGACGACTCTTGCACTGTCGTTGGAACTTGACCATCTCCATAAATTATTGTGGAAATCAGCTTGAGCTGAAATTGGAGATAGGTGGTTCTTCCTGGATTCATTTTTTAAAAAAGTAAAAATGAATTATGTGTTGCTACTTGCAACAGGTAGATAGCCACCTTTTATACCAGGCTTTTGTCTTTCTTAAGATAAGATAAGGCTGCATCAGCTGATCAGCCAAATCAACACCCCCCATGTGCCTGTTATAAGCCCTGATGCACACCGGTTTTGTCTGTACCCTGCCTCGGACAGTGACGTCTGACATGCCCTCGTTATGGATGGTTGTTAGCATGTGAACATCCTTCCTGTCCTTAAATTTTAGCGCAAGCAGTTCAGCCTTGCGCAGAGCTTTGCATTCCCCTTTTTTTAATTTGGCCTCTATGAGAGGTCTGGGGAAATCCTTGGCATTTCTTCTTACAGTGCCGCAGGCCAGTGTCTGTAAACTATAAAGAATTTTAAACAAGTGGACACTGCTGTAAAAATTGTCCACATAAAGGTGGTAACCCTTATTGAACAAAGGGTTCAGTAGGTCCCAAACAAGTTTCCCAGTTGTCCCCAGAGAGTCAGGACAGCCAGGAGGGTTCAGTTGAGCATCTTTCCCCTCGTATACACGGAAGGCAAATGTGTAGCCACTTTCGCTCTCGCAAAGTTTGTACACTTTAATGCCATACCTAGACCGCTTTGAGGGGATATATTGTTTGAACCCTAATCTCCCTTTGTATTTCATAAGGGATTCATCGATGGATAAAGTTTGTTGGGGAGTATAAACTTCAGAAAATCTGTTCTGAAGATGGTCTACCAGTGGGCGTATTTTATAAAGCCTATCATATTGGGGTGATCTCTGGGGTGACAGAGCGTATTGTCGTTAAAATGTAAGTATCTGAGCAGCAGCTCATATCTTGGTCTAGGCATTGTTTGGGAGAATATAGGAGTCGAACAAATTGGGTTGGTGCTCCAGTAAGACCGGATTGATGGCTTCTTTATTATCCCCATGAGCATGGTAAGAGCCCAGAATGTTTTAAGTTCAGGGACATCTGTGGGATGCCAAGCATGCTCCCTGACTGTATAGCTACCTGGATTGGTCTCAATAAATTGGCTAGCGTATAAATTAGTCTGGGAAGCAATCTCCTCCCAGATGGTATCCCCTAAAAATAACTCCATATATTGTATAGGGGAGAAGTCAACCACATTCACATTAATGCCTGCGTTGGCACTAAAAGGGGGGATGTTGGGCTCAGCTAACTGTGGAGGTACCCAGTCCTCCTCCACATTCAGCGTAGCAGGGGAAGCACAGCTTCTTTTAGCAGCTGGCTCACTCACAGATGACATGTCACTAGACGTGCCGCTAAACTGACCTGGGTCAAAATCGGACGCAGTGTCAGTGGCGTCAGAGTCTGACGCCAAGAAGGCATATGCCTCCTCCAAGCTGTACATGCGCTGCATGTTTCACACTAACAGACTAAACTAACAAAATACTAAACACAATATTTTTTATTTTTTTTAAACACTAAAACAGACTAAAACAGACTAAAACAGTAATCCCTAAACTAACTCCTGTTAGAAGAATCTAATGGAGATTTGGGGGAAGGAAACTGACTGACTACGACAGACTATGACAGACT